ATTGTAAGCACATTATAAATGTACAGAAGAAAGGGTATTTTGACGGTCCACGTAAGTTATATACACTATGCTTGTGCAGTTTACTGGTATTGGATCTGAAAACTTCTGGCGAATTGCCAGATCGCGTCGCGACTGGAATCGCTTGAAGTATGCCTGGCCCTTAAAATCTCTAGATGCGAACACAACTCCACCAACATTTTAGGGTTCACAAAATGCATCTCATCACATCCACCACCATGGTCCTCGTCAAAAACAGCGAGTAATGTCACAGCTAGAAAAGGAACTGATAGAACGCGCCAAGGAGCGCGGTGTTGACAGGGCAACAGCACGCCAAACTCTCACCGATAAACTACTGTGGAAGGAAAAAGACGAAGTTGTAAGTTTTCAACGTGCTTACTTGAACTTTGAAAGTCCAAGCCATTTCAGGCGACAATTCGTATGCTCAGATGGGCGCTAATTGTACTGAGCAAAGACTCAGTTGGAGTAATTCCAAATGAGATTTGTGCTGTAATGATGGAGAAGGCTGCAATTGTAGGCGAACTACGACTGATTCGACGTGGATTTCAGCCAAGTAAATCAAAAAATTGTCGCTTGCAAAGCGGTATCTCCAATTTCTAGAACCATCAAGAAATGCACAAAATGTTCGCAACATTGTATGGGATCCAAGCTTATCCTCAGACGTTAACATGGCAGCGGTACAGCTGGTCAAGTTCGTTCAGGGAACATGGAATGGTCTCGTAATGGTAGGACAGCGTTAAATCTAGGAAATCGTCGTGCTCATTTTCCTAGTAAATATGGCAGCAGTTAATAATTACCTGAGACTACTCTGCTGCAACTTCCTAATTCACATCTGAAATGTAAATATAGGGCACTGCTTGTAGATCCATAAAGCGCAAGAGTGCCATCACTAAACTAAGTTGGTGCGAATTTCGACCTATCTGCGAAATCCTTGGGATACGAACAAACGAGGTCAAAACGACATAAAGCAGAATTTCTTCCTCTTTCCAAGATTTGCTTGTTTGGAAGCGATTCTTCCAACGAGTGCTGAGATATCGCAGCAGTTTACAACAGATTCTCGTCAAGCTATGGGCGTCAAAATATTCATGTGGTAGGAGATTGGCAGACTAATGCATTTTTTGCATTTTTTGGACTTCTTTTCATGGATTTCTCGAATATATTTTTTGAAGTCACCATTTTTCAACGAATTGATCTTTGGATTACAGATGGCTATCTGAAGTGATATAAGCTAAAAATTCGCTCCATAGTTTTTTTTTT